TGGTTAGGTAGTTGTTCAGGAATATATCCATTTCCTTATCGCTCTCATCATCGGGTGTCGGCTCCTGGTTCAGTGGTCCTTCCATATCGGTGATGAATTGCTGGTATACGGGTTTATAGCTTCCTTATTGATTTCTTTGAAATTTGCTTTAGAATTGTTCTCAGGCCGCGTCTCTTTCTTCCTTGGTGTGGTTATATGAGATACAGTCTGGTTTATAGCAAACACCACATTTCTTGCCGGTTCCCAGTCTATATTTCGTTCGGGGAGGGTTCGTTGATCGTCTAGGCGGTTATTTTATAGGGTTTGTGCGCATGAACTTCCTTTCCATAAAGTTTGTTGTAGGGAGTTCCTCCGCCTGGAATACGGATGGGTTATTGGTGGCAGGCTCCTTATATTTTCTCTCGTTTTCCTAGGTAGTTATCGACGTCTACATTCCGTTGATGAGTCCCAGGAGGTTCGGTGGTAGGTGTGCTAGGGTCATTCGGCATGCTTCAACTCCTTCACATACTGAAATCAATTTTTCGTACAAGTATTCATCCGTTCGCCATAAGGGATTGATTACATATCGGAGCTTATAGAGCTCATTAAGTAGTATCTTAAAGCATTAGTGGAGGCTCTTATCGGGGTTCTTTCGGATGGTCGTTCTAAGGTTTTGGCTGTCCCATAGTTGTTTCTGCCTTCTATAGAACTCTGGTCCTTCGAAGAATTCCCTAAGTTTCTCGCACAACTCCGCGAAGGTTCTCTCCCGTAGGGAGTTCGTGAAGTAAAACTCTAATGCCGGTCCTTTAAGGAAACTGCCAAATGCGTCCATGTACGATTGTTCCGGGAGTCTCACACGTTGGCAGATGTCGGTGAAGATCTTGATCTTGAAGTCGAGACTAGTGCTTCCATCGTATTTTTGGCTCTCGGATATCGACTTCATGACTGTTGTCGTTTGCCTTACGTAGTTATCTGAGGCAAGGTCGGGAGTAGATCGAGGTGTCCGGGAATAACGACTATTATCTAGGTCGTTGTTTCCTCTTGGAGTACGATCACTCTCATCATCATCATCGTCATCGTCACCCGGATCGTCTCCTGAGTTTCCGGTGTAGGTCGCAGGTGGTACGCCTCCAATTTGGCTTTTACGCATATACTCTCGGTTGTTTGGGACGTTTATATACGCGTGTGGTTCCGGCCGAGGTGATGAGAAAACATGCGAGGTCCAGTTCTGGGTCTTGCGCTGGGTGGGGGGTATTTCCTTCGGTATTTAGCTTAGCTGGCTGGCTGGATTGACCGGATCTTGTGGGCGTCGGGTGGCGGTCGTTCCCTTTAGACCATCCAGTGTGTCATTCAACTTGTCCTAGAGTGCTAGAGTTCTTATAGCGCCATTGATGTCTTTGAAGGCGTTTTTGATTTCTGCGTCCGTCCATTCATGTTCTTCTTCCCTTATAAGGCATTCCGTTAGGGAGTCGGCCAGTTTTGGTGTCCATCTCACATAAACTCCGCGCTGGATGAGTGTATAGTACACTAATCGGAGGGTGTTTCGTTCGAGTTTCGTAAAGTCCTCCTCGGTCCAGTTCTTGAAGTCTGCTTAGAAGTCGGCCCAGAGTCCGCGGTCCATAACTCCCGTGGTTATATAGTAGGTAAATCGTGTGGTTATATATTCCTCACGCTGATCCCAGTTACATTCCTATGGGTCAAAACCATTTCTGTGGTAGAATCTGATTTTCTCCTCTTGTGTCATGTTGCCCCATGATTCGTGCGCCTCTCGGTAGGTCTGGTCCCTATCTACATGTTCATCGGGGTACCCTTGGCCTCTGCTCTGGTTAAAAGCGGGTGTAGGGCTAGTGTGTTCCGTGTATGATCCGGGCATACTTGCTCGTGTATAGCTGCCCCGAGTGCGTGGTCTATACGACGGTGTTCCGTCCATAATGATGGTGAGTGGATCTAAACTTTCGTCGTCGTCTCGTGGGGTCAGGTCTTCTTCCGTGATTGGGGAATGGCGTGCGAATTGCCCTTGGTTGTTACGCTTTCGTTCACGGTGTGCAGATTTGATTGACTGTGGTGTCTAGTATACTGGTGGTGCCATATAGCTCCTGCAGGTGATGCTAGGGGGAGATTGGCTATATTCCAGCATGGATCTGTGGAGGAGCCGGACAAGTCACAAATGGAGAAGTTGAACAAGTCACCAGTGGGTTCTGGTGTCCCACAATTCAAAGAGGGGAAGATTTTTAGGGGTTTTTGAGTATCCCCAGTTTTTCCAATGCGAAAAGGAAAAGTTTTAGTCGAATGTCCTTCGAAAAGTAGTCGTAAAGGAGGTGTTGAAAGGTAGAAACTAGGGTGTAGTTTTCTAAATCAAACTTGAAAATTGTGTTTTTGGAAGAGTGAATGGGCTTGCCGGTGCCAATTCATGCTCTTAACGGTGTTTTATCGTATTTTCTTCGATCGAATTTGGCTTATCGTCGTAACGAGTTTTCGTGGTTTTGAGGATTTTTCACAATAACTTAGTGATATAACCTCCAAGTCTGATTCAGCTCGTCAACTGATCAGTATCGATCAACTACGTTGAAAGGACAGGGTTCACACGTTGCACTATATACACTGGAAAAGGGTATGGTTCGTCCTAGATTCTTAGTATATACATTGTGCAAAGTGGTGTGAAATGTGTTCGATTCATGTAGCTACTTGAGTTCCTAATATAGTTGTTCCCCCGTGACTCGGGGGTCTGTTTGTTCCGTTCCGGGTTTATGGTATTGCATGATTGCAATATCCATGTTCCGACACATACCTAGAACTATAAGTATATATAAGAAAGAGAGAAAGGAATCTTGCTTACCGAACGAGCTTATCAGGTAATCCATGCGTCTGACAAATGATTTGCCACTGCTGCTGTCTTTGAGGACTTCCAGATACCCAAAGGGCTAAGATTCGTACACGAGCTAGCGCAGAATGCCCAGCTGGTAGGCTCTTATGGTCCTTTAGGATACCACAGGCATCTAAAGAAGATTGATAATCGCCAGATTTCAACTCTGATAGAATCTTTTGGACAATGAGATTCAGAATATGCGCCAGGCATCTAATATAGCTATCAAGACCTATCTTAAGTGAGTTTAGATAATTAAAGAGAGAGAGAGAGAGAGAGAGAGAGAGAGAGAGAGAGAGAGATGAAGAGAATCTTACCTTGAAACTGTAGTGTAGCTAGATTTAACCCTTGAAGATTGAAGTAAAGCTCTTTAATTAGGGCACTATTATTTGTTGCATTATCAGCAGTAATAGTAAGTAGCTTAGACTCAAGTTGTAGCTCCTGAAGAGATATTTGAAGCTGGCTTGCCATATTCTCTCCAGTATGTGCTCCAATAAGCTCTATAAAATCAAGAATCCTCTCACGGTACTCAAAATCAGGGGTTATCCAATGTCCAATAACCCCTAAAATAGCTTTTTGATTCTTGGATGTCCATATATCTAAAGAAAAAGCAATTGTTGAACATGTTTCCGCGAGCTCACTAACCAAATAGGCACGATACTGAGTAAACTCCATATTGATTCGTCGAGAGACTGTGCGAGCAGACGTAAAAGGTAGAGGGGTATTTGGTAATTCCTAGAATAATTAAAGTTAGTAAGAGAGAGAGAGAGAGAGAGAGAGAGAGAGAGAGAGAGAGAGAGAGAGAGAGAGAGCTTACCCTGAAGATTTGCTGGAATGCTGTAGACTGAAGAGCAGTGAAAGGGATATTCTCCAAGACTATCCATCGAATCAAATTCTCCTCTAATGCCTCTAACATAGATTGACTAGTTTTTGTCCGAAACATAGAAACAATAGATGCTTGCTGAGTTGCTGATGATATCATTGATCCATGTTTTTTCATCAGATGCGTTTTCATATTAGAAGTTGATGTATCTCTCTGGGAATCCAAGATCTTCCATTCTCCACAATGAATACATACAATCTCTCGGTCCTGTAACGGCCCTTTACCCCGTTTGGGATGCCAGAACTTCCCTGGAAGATTGCGGATTGTAAATTGACTCTAAAGGGCTTGGTTTTTGGATTTTGGTGTCTTGGGCAAAGAAGAGTCTAAAGGAGTAGACACTATAGAAGAGGTTGTTTCAGGGATTTGACTCGCTGAATCATTCGGAGAGATAGATTCATCTTCATCTTCATCTTCATCTAATGGGGAGTGATAACGTGGTTGCTTTTTGATACGATCACTAGGATCAGCTTCCTCATCACTACCATCATTTAGAACAAGGTAATCCTGTCGTGGAGCGCGTTTAGGGCGTGGTAGGAGACTCATTCTATCAATGAATGGATAACTATTTAGATATCAAATTAGGGACTTCGGATGATAAGTTTCTATCGTAGTATCGTATGATTTATTTAGGCGGTGGCATAATATCACGGATATCCGTAATCCATATCCGTAACCGTAGAATTTCTACGGTTACGGTTACGGATAGAAGCTCTCGACTACGGTTACGGATACGAATAATCCAAAATCTTACGGATATGTATCCGTGCCGACCTCTAGGCCTAGTACTTGGGCACGTAGTCGGGCGCATACTGTCATTAGTTGGAAGCAGCGCGATGCTTGCCTAATGACTCCAAGGTATACGCAAGGTTGGCCAAACTGCTCAGTAGACATGTGCATGGGTTGGGTATGGGTCAAAATTCATACCCATACCCAACCCATCAGAGGTAAGGTAAACCCATACCCATACCCAACCCAACCCACGTGGGTATGGGTTGGGTATGGGTCCCATATGGGTATTTTTGATGCCTTAATGCCTGATTTTCGCCTCAACCTAAACTAAATTAGGGTAATTAGTGCCTTAGTGCCTAATTTTTGCCTCAATCTAGTACTAACTAGGTGACAAATATCACGTGAAATAAAAGTCTTGGCAAAAAGATGGGTTTATGGGCTGGGTGTGGGTTTTACTTCAAACCCATACCCAACCCATATGGGTTTTGGGTAAAATTTCTGACCCATACCCAGCCCATTGTGGGTTGGGTTGGGTTGGGTATGGGTTTACCCAACCCAATGAACATGTCTACTGCTCAGAGTATCAGGATGCTCGGGCACAAGCACCCGCTTGCTGGTTTCCATGACCTGCACCTCGAGCTCTTCGGCTTCCTTCCATCGTCTCTGGGTCCAGTAGGTCAATGCTAGGTTTTTCATACTGGTCAGAGTATCAGGATGCTCTGGCCCAAGCACCCGCTTGCGGGTATCCATGACCTGCACCTCGAGCTCTTCAGCTTCCTTCCATCGTCCTTGGTTCCAGTAAGTCGATGCTATCCTACCATAATTTACCACTTTGATCTTAAGCAAGTCTCACTAATAGTTCATTTTCACCATATACCTGAAATAAAACTAGATTCTTTGGCGTTCCCCATTTTATCTCACTCTCGAGTTAGCACTAGTAAAAAAAAAAACTGTCAAAAGAGTACCCATGCATTTATACTAGAGGCCATTCTTGATACTGTATAGTTTGACTCTAGAAAGAGCTTCCAAGAAGTGAATCATATTGTGCACACGATGGGGATTTATGAAAGCCTTGGCTCATAGCAAAAGAAAGAGTTTTCACTCATTGAGGTGCCGCTTACCAGCAAAGACATTTCCGAAGAATTAGACACCAAGTATCATGCCGCTATATAGATTCCGGAAGCCGAATTGCCCTTGGTGTGCTTCAACTTTACATTTCTGCTGATTGCTGTCCTCCCATGGCCGTATTCTGACATTCTTTCCTATGGCGGTAACTATACATCCCTGGCACACAGAGAGGATAGTTATCTGACCATTCTGAATAGTTGTATAAGGAGTTTTTTGGCAGTCAACCTCGTGGTATATAGTCGTGACCTCTGTCGTCGGTCCTTCGGTAAAAACAGTTGATTCGGGGCTTTCATGTGTTCGAGTGGATGGCGGATCCATTGAGCGACAGAATTAGACAAAATTGTGGAGTCTTTAGATATTTTATATTATATGCTCGAATTTACGCATTGTGAGAGTAACCTGCCATCCCAGGCAGGGCTTAGGCGATAATGACGTGTCATGGAAACACATATAATCCAGAGATCTGCGGCCCACTTACACCTAGTGGTGTCTTCACTACTGTACTGTAAAACACACCTACCAATCTAGAGGCGGGCCTATACAAATGGGAAGTGTTTCAAAACCTTAAGCTTAAGGGTCCAAATTTTGATTTTAAGATGTGCCGCTGAGAAAGAGCGAAAGAGTGTGAATTTGGTAGAGGCCAAACTTGGCAGCAATTTGCTACTTACTTTTAGTCTACTATTTATTATTACTTCTCTGGGTCAGGAATTTTTAGAATTCGAAAGACCGTTCACCAGTATGATACCTAATTCCATTGGAGCAATAAGGCAGTGTCAAGTTTATCAAAATATGTTACATTGTACTAGCCCTCTCATCAGAGACCAACATTATTCAAAATATCCCTGAACGAAAATGAGTTCACGTTAGCACATGAAAATAGGATGGTTACTGTTTAGATCCAGAGCCACAGAATATTACATGAAGTCTGTCCTAAATGTTTGCAAATGCGTCATATTTTATTAAGTTTGACTCAGTTTGAGGAGCTCTTTTAGCTGAGAATCCTCTTGATAGCTTTCCAAGGCCTTGGCCTTCCAATTTTCCCAATTTAAGTTCTCTTCGATGCCAAGCATTTTGAGTAGACCAAAAAATAATCCAACAAACCCATCCCAATCATCGAGGTCGTATCCACAACAAAATTGGATCCGATGGAGAAGCCGGCCATTTCTGACTATCTGCCCAAGATCTGCATGTCCTTTTTCTTCAAAGCACTCAGCAAAAAAAATCTCATCTTGGCCAATATGATCGGTTCCATTGTAAAAATCGGCAACAGGAAGAAGGACAATAGGCGAATTGAAAGCTGATGATTTTGAATCTGTTTGCGCCCACTCCCAGTCAATGATGCCTGTGATATTGAAGTCATCATCAACAAGAATCTGATCTCCCTTTTCATCCGCATGTTTCAAATAGAACATTCCATCATCGAAAGGGCTTTTTGAGAAAACTTTAGAGACAGTTTCTAGGAGGAAACGATGTACCAAGAAAGCATTAACTGGACGGTCAACGTATAATTCTTGACGTAATATCAGATCCAATATCAATTGAATCTCTGTGTCGAAATATTCTCCCGAAGACGAATAAGGCCCAAGCATTCTCATTTGTGAATTTTGAAAGTCAGTCAAAGACTCCCTTGCAAGAGGGCCAATATAAGAAGAGTTCTCCGGATCAAACGAGCCTATCATCGAGAATGGGAATTTTTTCAATTCAATGTAGATATCTGCAAGTTGGCTAATAACTTTCTGCCTCTGCTGCAGAGCAGTAAGAGACCAGCGTAAAGATTTTCCTGGTAGTTTCTCCATAAGGATATAACTAACACCGATAGGATTAGCTTCATCCAGATTAAAGTCAAAAACTCTCGGTACAGGAACGTTTGTCTTGCTTAAGAACTGTAGTGTTGCGACTTCACTACCGATTATATAATCCCGTAGCTTTGGTGGTGGGGATGTAGCATTAAACCTTCGGATACGGGTAAGCCAGCTAATTCCATCCTCGAAAAGAATCTCAACATGATAATTCATGCCTCCCATGACTGAGCTGCGTAATGCTCTATCGTATTGTAGGCCTTGAACCACAGAGCACGAGACACCATTACGTAGATCGCTAGCTCGTTGTGTAAGCGCTGATACGTTGATTTTCCGAATCAGCGTCATGATTTCTTTCCTTTCCGCTTCTTTAGCAGCAGGGTCATAACACTCATCCTAATCAGACCGTAGAAATAAGTAGCCGCTTCAATACTTAGATTTAATAACACACCTTCCACTTTGGGCATGTATGATACTTCGGTCCTAGATGTTTGACGCAGAGATGGAGATCACAAAGAGTGCAGTCCCCATTTACCCGAACAGACGGTTTGTCGCAACCATCGATATCACAATGCCAAATTACCATATTTCAGGAATGAATAATAGCACAATCAAATGATGCGCCCTGACTTTATTTATAATAGTCCTCAAATACTAACCCTCCCATATCATGAATGAAAAGAGTAATCGAGCTAAGTCTAGTCGACACGTGTCCTTTCCTAACTTATCAATCATAACGCACATACCTACAAGACTAGATAATTTACTTGAATTTTTCCCGCATCTTCAGCCACGGCGTCTAGCTCATAGATCCTATAGGGTAATTTCCCCTTGGCACTGTGATTGATGCAGTAGTAATATCGGTCCTTTATGATTTATCATATGGATCAGTTGACAGCATTTTAGAAGTGGTCGTATGCTGGTCTATAAGTAAGCGGATTTTCTTACACGGAAGCCTTCATCAATTTTGACAAAAAGGATTTTACTCGACTATACCCAGCTACTTTTTCGCTACTGCTCTCTGATAAGACTTCATTAATAATTTGAAAGTTCCAAATTTCACCAACCCGAGATGCCAAGCCCCGCCATTAGATGTGTTAAAGAAGGCTGTGGTGATTGGGCTGAAAGTGGATCGAAGTTTTGTTCTGCACATAGTACGCCTCGATTTTGTTGGAACAACCAGTACATTTTACTGATTTTGCCTATAATAGAGTGAACCCCTCATCAAACGTCGAATACGAATCGCACATTTCGTGCGGCATACCTGCAGCATATCAACACAATGCTGTTTCGAGGAAATAGCGGTGAAATTTGTGTATACATTTGATTTTGGGGAAGCGTGCGGCACCACTGGGATTTAATGGTGTATTTCCCATAGCTCTCCAAATGGCACGGCATATAACTACTTTTTGTTCGTCAATAAATGCATGACTTTTCAATTCTAATACAGTACTAGCCTGGCTCGCATTCTTTCACACTGTCTGGAATTCTGTCTGACCATGAACTTGCGAGCAATGCCGTTTTTTCGACACTGAGAAATCTTTTACTTCTCTTTTAAATACTATAAGACGGTTGAACATTCTTTCTCTATGATTACACTTGCCTGTTGAAAACATTCCTCGGTGCTGTCATGTTAAGTACCAACATCGTGAACGCATCGTCCAAGGGGGGGGTGGGGGGTATGAAATTCCTGGTCTAGATTCTCTTCAGATATCGACCAAACCCTTTTAATAAGGCGTTATCCATAACAATCAAGATTTTGGTTCCAGCCACCTCCCATAGCGCTGGGGAATTTGCACAAATAAGACTCAAAAACCACACCTCAGTGTTGGCCGCGATGAAATTGAGATATTTGGACCGGTTTTATGCCTAGTGGTGACCAACTAGTCCGTTGGTATCCCACCTGTTTATCACATCCCAATTAATCAACAACGACATAACGGTATGGAAGAAACCCGGACAGTTTGTATTCTAGAAATCTCGAAACCCAGCCTACTCCACACGATGCTCACCCTATTCATTTGCATTCACCTTTCTCTATCCTGATCGTACGACGCTCAAGGAGACTTACCTTTAGAGCAAATGCATAATACTGCACCAATCATTGAATCTTAAAAGACTATTAGATAATGTCACTTTGTTTGAAACAATGGTGCCTTTTCATCTGTAAAGAGCTACTAGTAAAGCTGAATAATGAGAAAAAGCATGTATCTTTTGTTCGCGGAATAGGTGAGAGAAGAATGCTCCTCTGTAGCATATGCTGTCTAGCCGACAGGTGGATGTCACCAGGGTGAGTACACAACCTTGGAATAAGCAGGGTGAGATTGCGGTGAGACTAAGCTAAAGCATTACTACTGCACCAATACTTGAATATCAACTACTATTTGATAATACGACCCCCTTCTGAAACAGCGCTGCATTATCATCTATGCTAGCTGATATCGTGATTACCTCTCTACACACCTAGGCTACCTTGTCAAATCTATTTTGGGCGACGAGTTCAATATTTTGATATCATGATCTAGATGGAACTGCGCCTGGCATGAGTACCTGGATCAAAGATAAGACATGCCTTACCATCAATGAAAGGGTGCACCAGACCCTTAGGCAATAGCTTGAGTTTGTCGACTTCTTTTTTCTTAGATACAGTATACTTAGTTCCCTGATCTTCGATCTTATCCATACACCGTTGCGCCAGTTCTTCCATTTCCTGCATACATTCGTTTGCTGTGTTGCGGACCTCTGAATTGATATCGTCGACCCGTTCATAAAATTCGTCTTCATGCATCTTGTTATCAGCGTAGAGCTTATCACGGTAATCTTCTGCGATGCCATCCAAATGCTCGTTCAAAAATTCATTGACGCAGCAAGTTAGGCGCTCCTCGATAAATTGATTTAACCGGCACTCAATCATCTTATCGACTTCAGCAACACTAATCTTCTCAGATTTGGTTGGCAGGTCACTATTGATATCTTCTGGAATGGCAAGTAAATGCTGGCGTCCTGATTCAACCAACAGTTTCCGAACCAGTTCATCAGAAATACCATGAAGCTCACGTTTGAGACGCATAACTACATCATGTTTATTGCTGCTAGGAGAGAGACGATGTGTAAAATGCGAAGGGCAAATTGACCGCGGTGATAGGGAAGGGGTACTCGGGGTGTTGACTTCAGTAGGCGAGTCAAGTTTTTGATCTAGCTGTTGAAAGGATGGAAGAAGCGCCCGTTTTTTTGTTGCATTATCAGGCGACGATGGCTCTGAATCATATCAGTATACTATTGAATGATGATAAAGTTTTGAGAATATACCTCTGCGCCGTTTTGTAGAGGTATAACTAGGGGTAGGTTCGACGTAGCATGGGGGTAGGTCGAACGAGAGATCAAAGACACGACAATGCCTCTCAAACAGATCATGGCTTGTGTCATAAAAAGCTTTTGACTGTCGAAGATTGCGAGCTTTTAGGGCATAAGAGAAGTTGTAGAGAAGATCAAGCTGATTATCCACGAATTGTCGTCTACAAAGATGAAGATGCAAAACTGTTGATTGACAGATCTTCGAGAATGAGAGGAGGTTTGTGTCTTCTGGATTGGCTGGACGTATATAGTCTGTCTTAGACGGACAAAGAACGACTCCGGGCTCATCAAGGTGCAGAATCAGTGTAAAGGCTTCCGATGTATTGAGTACAGTTACGGGGAGCAAAGAAATCAAACTGGATGGAATGAGCTTATCGTTGCTTTTTGTGGCCACGCAATTATTGATTATTTCTGGACGGAGATTCAGATGCACCTGTGATCTGTTGCTGAAGTCAGCGAGGTCTGCTATAATGGAAAGGGAGATGGATCCTTGTTTGGCGGTGCGATCATGGGCAACACGAAGTCGAACAGGACAGGACACATCAAATTCAGGTGCATGAACAAGGACTTTTTTTTTCAAGGCCCATGGTGAGTTTTGGGAGGTAGTCGTCATATTGATTAAGAAAGAAGACATAAAAGGATAACCCTCGATGAATCGAGTAGCCCTCCCACCCAGGCTTTTGAACAGCTTGAAGCAGCCCTGACTTGAGTTAGATATGGTGGAAAAAATAGCAAGAAAAAATAGGGATTATGTAGTAAAAGTTCTTATAGCCTGGTCACGAGTACCTGCCCAATCTGGAAATCATCAAGTGAAATCAGAGAGTCCTATGAAAACACAGGAATGACAGGCCTGACGACGAGTACCACATAGAATAAATACTGCAGAGAATGATAAGAATAATAAAGTCAAATGGGGAGGTGAAGGAGGAGAAAGAGAATTATATAAGGGGCTGGGGCACGTGACCTAATGGATTTGTTGAATAAAGTATTTCACCACTGAACGGGTCACACTACTGAACGGGTCAGTTTGACCCACTTATTTTTATGAATCCCAATAACTCCATTATTTACTATGTAATATAGTAAAAAAAAACTACTGAATGGGCCTACTAGGACAGGTTTCCCTCCTATGTCCAGGTGTCTTACATATCCCACACCGGCGTTGGGTTACAGGCGCCCTTACAGGCGCCTGGCCCTCTTGTAAATTGGCATCATTAAGTTTAGGGCCACCATTCGACGCGTCAACCAGGTCTAATCCCTCCTGAATTGTAAGACCCCCTTGTCACGGTGCCAGCTCAGACGACTACTGATTGATTAGATAGTGCGGGCCACGTGACCCGCAACCTCATGTAAACTCAGAACCTTGTCTGAATGTAGCTCTTCAAGCTACGTCTTCGTCTTAGCCTATCAGTCAATGCAATACTGTCTGTCTAGTTCTAGTATAATTCTATTCACCTGCCCGCCCTGTGACACTATGTAGCTTCTACCCTATACTAGAGCTGCCACCCGCCAGCATGCCCCATCCTGAACCGCCTTTGAACGCCGATTCTATTGAAGAATTCCTGGCTCACGTCCAAGAACACCCCGACGTCTGGGTGCTGTACCTCCGGACTATGGAGGGCTACTCTCAAGAAATTGAGAAAGATAACCAAACCCTCCGCTAAGCCGCGACTGAAAGCGAGGAGACTCGGCACTATAGGGAGGGCGTTATTAGATATCAGGAAGAGCGCATCAATAGCTTATATAACAAGATTGTTGGGCTCGAAGTCGAAAAAAATCAGATCCTGAACTCCGCCCTGCCTGCTGTACGAACCCCCCGACCGAAAACACTCCTGCCCAAGGTATTAAGAACCTAGTAGATATCCCTACGCGAGAACTTGCACCGACTCCTACCCTGGGTCCCTGGTCTACCTCCCTTAGTGAAAGAATCCCTAACCTAAAAGAGTTTAATAGAACTCGCAGCGACCTCCGCTGTTTTATGTAGCAGATCTATGGCAAGATGAACGCGAACCAGGACCGTTTCCTAATAGCTACTATCAGACTTACTTATGTCGCGGGGAGACTTATTGGTAAAGTGTACAAACTAGTACTGCTAAAGATCTCGTACGGAGTTCCCTAGTTTATAGACTACCCGTAAATGCTTAAATATCTCGAGAAGGCCTTCGGCGACCCTGATAGAGTCCAGAATGCCTAGAACCGCTTATACCAGCTCCGCTAGAAGAATAACGACTTTAACACCTTCCTATCCGAATTCCAGCGTTTAGCCCTAGAGGGCGAACTACACGAAGAAGCTCTAACTCCCCTCCTAATATAAGCTATCTCGAACAAGCTCCAGGATATGCTCTTGCATAACCTAGCTCCGTCCCACTAGTTTCATAGCTACACAGCCTATCTTTAGTCGCTCGATAACCACTTCCGCCAATACTAGTAATAGATACACTATGCCCGCCAACCCACGCCCTTAGGTAGTACACCCCGGGAGAAAATCGCAAGGACCTTGTACGCAGCCGCCGCGATAACGAATATACTACCTAGGACCCTAACTCCCGCCTAAGGCCCTAGCGAACCTATGGATCTCTCTAAGGCTAAGCTCACCCGGCGTGACTAGGGGGAGTGCTTTAGATACGGATCTAAGGATTATCTAGTCCGGGACTGCCTGCTACCTGACACCCGCCCCTATTCCCCTGCCCACCTATATTCTAGCCGAATAGAGAACCCCGCCTAGGCTGACTCCGCTGCCTACGCTGAATCTGCTGAGTCTGACTACTCTATACTCCAGCCAATAAATAGAGTAAGCCTGGCCTAAATCGCGACTAGGTGAAACCTAACCACGTGCTCCGCCTATCCGTAGTTATACTAGGAGACTCTATCGAAGAAGAGAACCTCCGCGCCGACGCTTTTATCCTGCCTATAACCCTGACCTAGAAAGAGACCTAGATCCCTATATATACTATAATAGATAGTGGTGTAGAAGGGAAGAGGTTCGTCGATGAAGATTAGGCCCGAGACCAGAGCCTTATATTCGAAACCCTGAAAGAACCTATCCGCCTAGAGGCCTTCGACGGCCGAGAGCCCAAGAAGGGCTATATCACCTATTTTGTACGAATAAACATAAGGGTAGAGAACCACTATAAGAAGAAGGCCCTATTCCTTGTCACGAAAATCGCTTACTACCCTGTTGTACTAGGCCTGCCTTGGCTTAAGATCCATAATCCTAGTATTTATTTCGCGAACTATACCCTCGAGCTAAATAGCCTATACTACCAGAAGTTCTGTAACACCCCTAGTAGGGCCCCGAAGATCCGAGCCCTATATGATGTCCCGAAGAAAACCCGCCCTATAAACCTGCCTGATCGCCCCTCTATCCTAGAAGGCCTAGATATATAGTCTATAAGCCTAAGGGCCTACGCCGCGTACGCCCGAAGCGAGAAGGGCTATCATTTGTTCTCCGTGTCTATAGAGATACTAGACGAGATACTATAACCGAAACCTGACCCTGCCCTACCTGACGAATTTAAAGACTTTGGAGATGTGTTCTCCCCTAAGGAAGCCGAACGACTGCCCCCACACCGACCTTACGACCATGATATTCGACTAATAGAGGGGAAGGCCCTGCTATTTGGGCCCCTCTATGCTATGTCCCGCCCTGAGCTAGAAGCTCTGAAGGAATGGATCTCCGAGAACCTAAGGAAAGGGTTTATCCGCCTAAGCTCCTCGCCTACTGCCTCGCCTGTCCTATTTGTGAAGAAACCTGGAGGGGGTCTCCGATTTTGTGTAGACTACCGAGCCCTTAACGCGATCTCGGTCAAGGACCGCTATCCCCTACCCCTGACTAAAGAAACCCTGAACCAGTTAAAGGGGATGAAATACTTTACTCGCCTAGATATCATCTCTGCCTTTAATAACCTTCGGGTGAAGGAGGGGCAGGAGTACCTGACAGTGTTCCGTACGAGATTAGGTCTCTACGAGAGCCTGGTAATGCCGTTTGGCCTAACAGGCGCCCCTGCTATATTCCAGAGATTTATCAACGATTCCCTGCGAGATTACTTATGTAACAGGCTGGTGCCTGCTTTAGTATTCATGCCTGTGCCACTCATGCTCGTCACGTGCCACCCGCACCCGCATCCCTTATATTACCACATGTCTATAGCTAGTCTCTCTCTTCTCTTCAAGCTTAATAAAGACAGTTTGTCGGCATCACTAGTTCTGCATTCAAGATTAGTATTAGCCCTTCACATTTATTAAGCTTCCTTTTCGATTCGGTTCCGGTTCTTTTTCGAGAAGTACACGAACCGCCAGTTTTCCACGATGGACCAGACCAACCTTTTAGCTCTTGTGCAGCAGATACAGCAGCAGCTTTCAGACCAGCAAAACCAGTTATTAGCGATCGCTTCGCAACAGAACCAGAACCAGCATTACCATCTTCCTGACCCACCCCGATTTGACGGCAAGCCCTTCACACTACGTACATGGCTCCCAGCAATACAAGCCAAGTTAGAGGCCGATGGCCTTACAGGACGACAAGCATTCAACTATATCTATAATCGCCTAGAACCACCTCAACAAGCATCAGTGTTACATCTTCAAGATAAAGCCAACCCCGATCAGATCTTCCAGTACTTTCAGCGTCTATGCTATAACCCCCGCGAGAAACAAGAGAATATTCTTCGATTCGCCAATATCCGGCAGAGAGATGATGAAAGCCTCATCGCCTATCTAGCTAGATTTGAACGCCTTTCGCATGAAGCAAGTATAGGTCTCGTGGACCAGGCGCTTTTCGCGATAACCACACTTCACCGTGGACTCCGTCGCCCTCTTCGCGAGACCCTCGAACAAGTTAGCGATTCGCTATTTAGCCTTTCGTATGAAGCTTATATCGAGTTTTTACAACGATACGACCGTCGCCAGCCAAGATTCCAGACCCAGCCAGAACCCAGAAATCAGCCAAATTTCCAGAAGAAACCCCAGAACCAGTCCCAGAACCAGTCCCAGAACCAGCCTACCTCTAGTCAATTCATAAACCAACTCGAACCAATGGACTTATCAGTCAACACTACTAAGACCCGCCCGATTTCACCAAGCAACCAAGTAAGGATAAGAACAGCTCAGATCCAACCATACATCGTCCCCGAGAGACAGGCCCAAGAACGTGCCCAAGTACGCCACGATACGCGACAGTTCCTAGGTCTATGTTATTATTGCGGTTCCGAAACACATTATATAAAGGATTGCCATTTAACTAGCCCACGATCCAGCCGTTCACCAACCCCAACCCGCTCTAGAACTCCAGCTTACATCGCCTCCGACGACGACGACCCATAGGAGGGGGCTATTGTAACAGGCTGGTGCCTGCTTTAGCATTCATGCCTGTGCCACTCATGCTCGTCACGTGCCACCCGCACCCGCATCCCTTATATTGCCACATGTCCATAGCTAGTCTCTCTCTTCTCTTCAAGCTTAATAAAGATAGTTTGTCGGCATCACTAGTTCTGCATTCAAGATTAGTATTAGCCCTTCACAACTTAGACCTGTTCTATACCGCATACCTTGACGATATACTGATATATAGTCGTACAAGGGAGGAACATATCGGACACGTCCGTAAGGTCCTCG